TAAGAGCCCAATGGGCCGAGAATTTATTTTTGGGCCTCATAAATTCGGCCAAGACCAACAATGGGCAAAAACACCTCATCCTCAATTACCTTAGCCCAATCTCGGCCCAAGATCATTACAAAAACAAAACAAAAAAAAAAAAAAGAGATGAATTATCCTAACCTTGCCACCTCAATATTGCATGGTGGTCATCCATGCATAATAACCACCATACAACAAGGTAGATTCATGTATCTAGGCAAGGAAATCCTTACTTTCTCTCCCTTCTTCAAACTCACGGCCATAAGGCCTTTCTACCTCCACATTTCATTCTAAAACCCAACATTTTCTCTCATCATTCCTCTCAAACACTCTCAAGAAAAACCACCCTTCTTTCCTCTCAATTTTTCGAGATTTTAAGAATTTCAATAAGGTTTTCCCACCTAGGTCATCATCTTTGGTGAGTTTTCATTAGATCTATGATTTCACTCCTTGATCTACTCAAAAATCTTCTCTTACACCATACTTTCGTGAATCATACTCTTATAGCACCATAGAGCTCGAAAATCATCTCCATAACACATCTAGGGTCGAGATCTCTTCACTTCTTCATCAAAACCGACTTCCAAACCCCAAGGTGAGCTTCATACCCCCTTATTTTCGGTTTTATAAGTTTTTGTGGGGGAGAATACAAGCAAAGGTGTAGATCCATCATTATGTGTATGTGTTGGTTGATTTCTATGTTTTGTATGATTTTGATGCTAGATCTAGTTATGAATTGCTAAAAACCGAGATATATCTTATACTAGCATGAAATACACTATTACATACAAAGTATACCAAGAAAAATAGCTAAGTGGCTTAACAATACATACTTTGGGCTAAAAACTCATTTTTTTGACATAAATGTTCAAAATACAAAGTTAAAAGGGCCCAAAATGAAATATTTCGAAACCTGATGGGGGAGATGAGTCAAAACAGATTCCATAATGTATTTACTGAAAATATACTCTTTTGGAAGATCAAAAACATAAATTTCAAGCTTAATGGGCTAAAAATGACAATTTCGGCCCAATAGGGCCCATTATGCGAAATTTTCTGTTTTGGAGGGCCAAAACTGTGTTTTCCTGTAAAACAGTGGACTATTAGTGTTACATGTACTTTTCAAAGGTTTAAAACACTTTTCAAATTTAAAAAGGACCAAAGTTGCAAAAAATTTCCAAATTGGGCCAAAAATGTAAAAAATTGTGAAAAAGAGGGGTTATAACCGAGAAAACTGCAATTTCAGGGACTTAAACTGTTTTAAATGAAAAATATGCTGAAAAATATTAAATTCAATAATTTTTGGTGTTAAAATGTCAAGAAAAATGGTCTAAGGACTAAACCGGAAATTATTTTACCTAAAGGGGTGAAAAAGTAAATTTACAAAATTAAGAGGGGTTGTAAACAGAAAATTTTCAAGGGTAATTCAATACACTCGTTGTGAACAAAGATTGACACTACGACTCTCGATAAATTACAATACACAATATCACCAACAATCGTTATCAAACGAATTGATTCGGTCTCGAATCAATAACAAATCCAAAACTACTAACACTATAACGCTCAATACACATATGAAACTCTTGGAACTCTTTACTCTCGTGGAATTACTCAATACGTCGACGTACACTCCTTAGGCCCAAAAGTTGCAAATCATGCTTGTCGAGCCTAGCTAGCCCGATGACATGATCTTTAGGCCCAAAGGACACTTGCTTACATGTAGTTGGGTCTAATACGACTCGACCGCGTGTAAAAGGACTTTCAATGGCAAACATGTTGCTGGTCCCCAAGGGTCCTTCAGTGCTGCTAGTAAAGTCGGGAACTCACGATTGCGGGTTGGGCTTCGGGCCCTTCGCAATTGCAATGGTCTTGAACGACGCGGGGAAATACCGAGGGTTTCGCACCTTCTCTTCTTCCCTCCGGTCGTGGGACTACACAAGTCCGGGAGGATTGAGTTGTGTGAATAACTGCGAGTGACGCCTAAGGGATCGCTTGTAAGGTTGTCGACTGGACGTTTTCATTAACGGACGTCACAACAATTCACCACCCACTGTATACTCAATGCCTCCGGAGCTCAACGAATACCTCTAACGCAACAAAATAACAGCACACAAACTAAGTTAAGCAAAGTGATAGGAAAACGTCGGGTTTTCCTAGGGTTTTCAACTAATACACTTACGAATTACATGCCGAATTTTACAACTCGTACGCTTACATCTATAGAAAACAAACAAGCATACTTACGGATCTCCACACTTTTTTTCACCATACTATTTTCAGAAAATATCGGATTTTCTGGTGGTTTTCGAAATGATACAAACATTGGATTTCAAACATTACTTATGAACTCACCAACATTTCATATGTTGACGTTTTTCAAAATACTTGTATCCTCAGGTAACAGATAAGTCGAGGGGATAAGTGTACTCAGTGACGTTTTGCTGCTTGTTTAATTAGTACCGAACAATCTACTTTTTGGGCATGTAATGTTAGGGAACAATGTACTAAATGTAAACGCTACCAGTTGTATTATTCCAATGCTTGGTGATGTATAATGTTATGTTTCATGTATATTCATTGTGATGGTATTCAATTGAGTCACAACAGCCCCCGGATGTTTCCGCCGTCTGGTTCGGGGGTGTGACATGAACGGTGTCAAAGGATGGGGAACATTTCACATAAGAACCAAATGCCACAAAATCCAATCCTTGTTTGTGAAGCTTTTGACGTATGGGGGATTGATTTTATGGGCCCATTTCCCATCTCATTTGGCAACGTTTACATCTTGATCACGGTTGACTATGTCTCCAAATGGCTTGAGGCTAAAACTACAAGATCAGATGATGCCAAAATGGTTATTGAGTTTTTAAAATCTAATATTTTTGTGAGATTTGGTGTGCCTAGGGCATTGATTAGTGATAGAGGGATGCATTTTTGCAACAAGATGACGGAGGCTTTATTGAGGAAGTAAAACGTGACCCACCGCGTCTCTGCCGCTTACCACCCTTAAACAAACGGTCAAGTGGAGGTCTCAAATTGTGAAGTGAAGTCTATCATCAAGAAAACAATGAACCCAACAAGGAATGATTAGAGTTTAAGGCGTGATGATGCCTTTCAGGCCTACTGTATCGCTTACAAGACCCCGATAGGTATGTCTCCATTTAGATTGTTCTTTGGAAAACCATGTCATCTTCCCGTGGAATTAGAGCACCGTGCATTTTGGGAAGTCAAGCAATGCAATTTCAATATCAATGAGGCAGGAAGGCATAGGAAGCTTCATCTTCAAGAGTTGGAAGAATTGAGAAATGAATCTGATGAAAACTCAAAGTTTTACTAAGAGAAAACAAAGCTTTTCCATGTCAAGTCCATCACCTGGAAGCATTTTGAACTCGCACATAGGGACTTACTTTACCATTCATCATTGAAGTTATTTCCGAGCAAGTTACGATCAAGGTGGATTGGGCCTTTTGTTGTGATCAAAACCTTTGACAATAGAGTAGTAGAAGTTCAAAGTGAAAAGACGGGACAAATTTTCAAAGTCAATGGCCACCGTTTGAAGCCATTCTTTAAAGGTTTCAATGCAAACACTCTTGAAATCATCCATTTGGATGTCCCGATGTGTTGAAGCAAGCGAGGAAGACATCTCGCCAAAGACTTTAAAGACGGGCATTTTTGGAAAGCATTGTGCTTTCATCTTTTAAAAATCCAATAAATCATTTTAAAAAGCATTTTTGGGATTTTGAAAAATAAATTTTTTGAAAGGTTTCACCTTCCATTCCCATTTTTGTTCCCAACTTTTGTCAAATTTTCGAAACTGGGCATTACGGGAATCCTTTTGGCCTAAAAATCAAGTTTTTATAAATCTCATTTTTTTGAAGTGTAGGAGGTTCACGCGAACCGCATGTATGATTATCCTAGAGATGATGCGGCCCATGTAAGTATTGATACAGGTATCATGCGACCCATTCCTTACCCACATAAAAGGAAACTCTTAAATCTGTTCGGAACATGCGATCGACCCACGGCTTGCATCCTACAGGCGCAAATCCTCAAAGACTTAGCGAATTTTTTGAGTTCAGCAAGCACGGCCTCCATGCGACCTTGGAGTGGCCCACATCTTTCGACCAAAAAACTATATGTCTAGCAGAAAAGAAGGAAGGCTAGACGCAGCCAGTGTGCGACCCGCACCATGCCCGGATGTATAGCCTTGACCGGATTTTAAGTTGTTAGCTCAGTTTTGACTTTTTTTGACCATGGGGATTAATTATTTGACTAACATGGCCTGGTGTTGACCGAACTTGACCATGGATTAAGCACTTCAGCCACTTATCTTCTTCATTCAAATCCTACACAAACTCCACCATTTTCTCTTTAGAGCTCAAGAACACCAACACCTACCTCTCACAAAAACTCGAATACCCAGAGTTCTACCGGTCAGAATCCCATAAGACCACCACCATTCTTCACCATTCCCCCCTCTACAAACCCTAACCAAAAAACGGTCTGACTTGTGGCCGGAATAGAGGGCGCCGCCACCACCCTCCGCCGCCTTCTTCTGCATTTCCCGGCCAACTCCAGCCACCTTTGGAACTTCCTAGTGCGGGGTTTTGTTTCTCTTCCTAAGGGATTTCCAACCATACCAATCTTCACTCAAAAGCTCACTAAAATTTTTCTCAGATTTTGCATGTTACCACTCTAGTCGCCGAAAAATCTATTTGAAGCAAGGTTTTTGGGGTCGTTCCAAAATTTTAAACAGAACACATAAAGCAAACTCATAAGCTTTGATTGAACCTTGGAGAATCACTTTGGTGGTTCTAATTCCTCTTTGGTGGTTATAAACAAAATGGGTACACTCGTTCCTTTCACTTGAATATGTGCATATTGAATACCCATTTCTTATTGGAATTGTATTGCCATCCGTGTGGTATTTAGAGTGATTTAAGAGTCATTACAGTTAAACTTTTGTTCCGAGTCAAATGTCTAAGCATGCAAAAGCGAGTGTCAAACCTAGTTCATCTAAGGGTGGGCCAAAAGGCAAATCCAAGGGCCCCCCATTTCGTTTGCTAGATCATGAAAACCCTATGATTTATGAATTCCTCACTTCCAACAAAGAAAAAATCGAATCGACAAAATTCCTTAATAGAGAATCTTTTGAAGCTCTTGGAGTGCTCAAATTAGTTGAGGCACTATTTGACAACATTAGGTGGGGTCAATTCCTTCATAATCGTGCAACCACTTACATTGAACCAACCCTAGAATTCCTTTCCACATTCAAGCCTTATGACAAGTCGAGAGTCGTAACTTTCAAAATGTTAGGCGGAAATCGAACATTTCCATATCGGGTTGTGAACGCTCTAATGGGTACCCCGGTGGACCATACATATTCCCATCAAGATCCTTGGTCCGAAGCATTTAACGAATACCACTTTTGGCAAAAAATTACCCACGAACCATGGTATTCATCATCTTCATCCAAGGCTTCCTCAATTATTCATCCATGCTTGCGTCTAGCCTACTGAGTCCTTGTATGCACCATCTTCTCCCGCTCAGAAGTGGGACAGATCTTTAAATCTGAATTATTTTTTCTTTGGTGCATAACTCGTGAAAACAGTCTCCGTCCGGATTTTGCATCATTCTTCTTCAACAAATCTTATAATCTCACCACAATGGACACGGGAGACATTTTTATTAGAGGCTTGATCACACTCCTGGCGTCTCAACCTCTACTTGAGCTACATCTTTCTACCCATCCATTCGAAAAAGCAGTTGGACCCTCTTGTCTTAACATCAATGCACTCCGATGAATTCTCATCATCCGCGAATCAATCGATGGTCACATATGGAATCTTGATGGTCAGCCATACCTCATTCTCCATCATGACTATATCAAGTCATTCGAACCAACCGACCCCGAGCAATGGGTCATTCCATTCGATTACCCTCCACCTATAGATCAAGAAGATGACCATTTTCAGCCTCCTCCACAACATTTTTTCCAACCCCAGTATCCACAACAGCAGTAAGGGGGACACGAGATCCCATAAAATTTCCCCCTACATTCTTTGACCAGTTCGCTATGATGTTCTCCACCGTTCAGCACATCGACACTCAGACACAGGAGAACACTCAAAGCCATTCAGGATGTGGTGACATGTGTTGATCGGCTGGAGCAGTCATTCCCACCTACTTCCCGTCAGGTGTAGGACATGTGGGACTACCACTACCGCACCAAACACTTTCCGCCGCCCGACCCTTCGATTTAGGTCATTTCTGCCCTTTCCTTAAGCATTGAGGACTATACTTGCTCTTAAGCTTAGGGGTGGGACATTTCCTTTTCCTTATACATTTTCATGCATTTTTAGTTAGGTTGCATAACATTTTAGTTTTAAGTTAATTTGCATTCATTTTTTTTATTTTATAAAAGTCAAAAAAGATTTTTATTTTCTTCTTTTGCACTTTTTATTTTTGCATAACATTTAGCTTAGGGCATTAGCATTAATGCATTTTTGTTGTTTGTTTATTCTCGCCCCCCTTAGATGCCATGGAACAGGCTCATAGTTATTGTATCATTATTGGTCCAAGATCTTGTTGCTATCTTACCCATTGAACCGCAACCATTAGACGCAGTTTGGGACTTCATACGGATCAACTACTGGAGCTTAAAGGGGTAAGTGATCATGGCCAGTTAGTTTCATGAAGAATTAAGCTTGCAATACTAACAACTATAAGATGTACTAAGCAATGGGTTTTCTTAGTCCTGCAGTCCATGCCTTCGAAAGGATAACACTTTATCATGTTTGAACCATTAAGATAAAGCACTGGTGCTTGTCCCATAGTAGAATCCATATTGGGTCTCCTTACATCACCATATTTTTTGCGGTTTTCTTCGGATTCTAGAGAGTCTATTAGTCCACATTTGGACATTTTCATTATTTTTTTGGAAAATCACAAGTTTGAAAAGGAGCTAACATCTTTATGCTCCACACATTGTCATTTTCACACTTAAACCATTCAAATTATTATTATTACCCTTTCGGTTCCACTTACATACTTTTAGGAACAAAATTTTGAGTCAAAAAGATTTCTTGATAAGAAGCAAAAATTTAATATGTTAGTGCATTACCTTCAAGGTTAAAAAAAAAAAAGAAAAAAGAAAAATAAAAAACTCAAGCAAATTCAAAGCGGTGATTATCTTAGATGGGTGACCGGTTCAATTATTGAACAAATTTTCCTACATTTTGGTCACCAGTCGTTTGATACTCATTTATCTAGGTATGTTTTATTGTATATAGATCGAGTTGTTTTTCGCGAATTGGTGATGTTAGGGAGACCGTCGGGTCAGATATTATGGGAGGTTTGGACCAACACTAAGTGAACTGATTCCTACAACGGTGCCCGAGCGATGAAACCCAATCATAGTTGAGAGTGGCCGACAGACGTGATATCGCGCAACTTTCGTGATAAGAGTGTACACTTAAAGAAGAGCTCCACACGAGTCCGTCCAACTGCTTTCTCCCTACTACAAATGTTCTTCATTGTACGCATGTTCCATTAGTGCTGCGACAGACCATCCCTCCTTACTCACCTAGAGGAGTTGTTATGGTTCCATTGTTATCGGATGAAAAAGTCATGAGATAATAGCAAGATCAATTCTAAACATGTTGACTAACGGTGATCTGGTTCCACAGTTCTATCTATTCTTTTTATTTTTCTTAGTATAATTCATCCTAAGTTCATTTTAGTATTATCTTACTTGAGGACAAGTAAGGTTTAAGCTTGGGGTGATTTGACAGTTTCATTTTATTTACTTCTTTTTATAGTTTATTTTAGCATATTTCATTCACATTTTAGTTAATTTATATGCATATTTTCCTTTTTGTTATTTTATGACCACTTTCAGTAGTTTCGAATTTTGTGAGCATAATTGCAGGTTTTCGGGTCTAACGGAGCGGGAATGTTCGAGGCTTATGGGAAGCAGTTGGATTTGGAGGATAACAAGGATTTTGGGCTTAATAATTATGGAGAAGTTGCATGGAGTGGGCTTGTCAATTATTTGAAGGCTTGAAAGAATTATACTTTAAATATGCTACATGCGGGAGAATTTTTTAGTATGCAAAGATTGATGATCGGGCGATTACGGAAGCTATGGATCATTTAGAAAAGGCTAATTGGGCTTAAAATGAAGAAATCTTGCAGAAAAATGGGCTAGAAGCTAATCAGACTCGAACTAAATTGTGGAGTCCCAACATTTGAACAAAGTCCAACCTTCGTCACTCTTATGTGGCCCGCATGGATTCCTGCAGGGGCATTTTCGGGATTTTAATTGGAGCTCTATATGGCGAAGGTTGGTGTGCCACTTTTCTCAACTTTT